TTTTTTTTTTTTTTTTTTTTTTTTTTTTTTTTTTTTTTTTTTACTTCTTACTCTGTGGTTTGCTGAGTAGCTGGCCCCTGGTGTCTTCTCTCCTTTTCTCATACCTCAATTTTTTTTTCCCAGATTTCTCCTCCTATTTATACTCTCTGCCTGCCAGCCCTGCCTATCCTTTCTCATGCCTTGCTATTGGCTCTTTAGCTCTTTATTAGACCAATCAGGTGTTTTAGACAGAGTAACACAGCTTCACAGAGTTAAACAAATGTAACATAAAAGAATGGAACACATCTCTGCATCATTAAGCAAATGTTCCACAGCATAAACAAATCTAACACATCTTAAAGTAATATTTCACAGCATTCTCTGTGTAGCCTTGGCTGTCCTAGAACTCATTCTGAGGCTGGAAGGTGGTAGCACAAGCCTTTCATCCCAACACAATGGCTTATAGAGTGGAGGGGGCTTTTGTACTTTGGGATGTAGTGACTTGTGTCTGTGGCTGTCTTTCAAATGAGCAGCAGGGAGAGTGCGTTCATATACTCAATATAACCACCTTATCAGTTGGGAACTGGGTCTTTCCCTGATTTCAGAGTCCCTAACTATGGAACCCAGAATTAATAAAGCAACAAGTAAATACAAGGGTCTCTTCTGGCACCAAGTACTGACTTCTTTGTTTTTTTGGTGGTGGGGGGGGTTGAGACAGGGTTTCCCTGTGTAGTCCTGGCTGTCCTGGAACTCTCTATGAAGACCAGGCTGGCCTCAGACTCAGATCTGCCTGCTTCTGCCTCCTGAATACTGGGATTAAAGGGGAATGCCACCCCCTTTCTTTAAAGAGATATATTTTAAAAAATGTTACGATGTTTATATGATGGGAATGAGTGTGCACAGGGGGTAGAGGACAGCTTTGTGAAGTTGTTTCTCTCCTTCCACCTTCATGTGGGTTCCAGGGAGCAAACTCAGGTTGGCAGGCTTGAATAACAAGCCTACACAACGAGTCATCCTGTTTGGCCCATGAACTGATTGCTTGCTCCTTCCCCACAAGAAACACTGAGCCTAGAGACCCAGGTTCAAATCCCTAGGAAAGTTACTTTACCTCCATGGCTTTCTGATGTTGGGCTGCAAGATGTCTGAGGTCAGAGATACCTTGCCCAGCCTAGATACAGAGGTGTGGGGGGTGGGGAGGGGCCTTGGTGCTGCCTCAACAAGATGATGGGACAGACTTAGTAGACTTCCTAAGGGAGGCCTTACCTTCTCCGAGGAGCAGATGGGAGGTGAGGGGGGCGTGGAGGGAATGTGAGGAGAGGAGAGAAGAGAGGGGGAACTGGGATTGGAATGTAAAAAATAAATTAATAAAAGATGTCTAAGGAGCCATCGGACCACCATGGTGACCCCAAATATTTATATCATCTTGGGAGATGGGGACATTTTGATGATTTTTGGTGACCATGTGAATCAAGAGAATGGAAACAGAAGTCTGTCTTTGGGATTGTCCAGCCATAAACTGAGCTTTTTTTAAAAAAAAAAACAATTTATTTGTATTTTGGTGCAGGTTTTAGCTTGCATGTATGTCTGTGTGAGGGTGTCAGATCTTGGAGTTACAGACCGTTGTGAACTGCCATGTGGGAGCTGGGAACTGAACTCGGGTCCTCTGGAAGAGCAGCCAGTGCTCTTAACCGCTGAGCCATCTCTCCAGCCCCCATAAAGAGAGTCATACTCATCATTTGCTGGAGAAAGGAAAACAAAGTACTCATGAATGTGAGTGTGTGTTTGTGTGTGTGTTGCACAGCTGAAGTGGGACCCAGAGTGAGTGGGGTTTAAGGATTAGGGGCTTGGAGCCAGAGGAGGGGTGCTCTTTGGCATTCCAGGACTCCGGTCTGGCTGGCCTCACCTGTACTGCTTCCACACCCCAGGCCCACGAGCGTCTGGAGGAGACCAAGTTGGAGGCTGTTCGGGATAACAACCTGGAACTGGTGCAGGAAATCCTCCGGGACCTGGCACAGCTGGCAGAGCAGAGCAGCACCGCTGCGGAGCTGGCCCGCATTCTCCAGGAGCCTCACTTCCAGGTTCCTGGCTGGTGGCTGCTGCGGGGGTGGGGGTGGGGTGGCAATTTCCTAGTTGGAAGCTGGTTGGGAAGCCAGAACGGGGCATTTCCCCATTGTCCCTTCTCTTCCCATCCCTTTTCAGTCCCTCCTGGAGACTCATGACTCAGTGGCCTCAAAGACCTATGAGACACCACCGCCCAGCCCAGGTCTAGATCCCACGTTCAGCAATCAGCCAGTCCCTCCTGACGCGGTGCGCATGGTGGGCATCCGCAAGACAGCTGGAGAACATCTGGTGAGGATCAGACTGGTGGGGGAGGGGACAGAGAGCCACCAACGGGAGAGGAGCGAGGGCAGGTGGGAGGCCCAAGGAAGGGCCTGCGTAGACTTAGGAGCAGCTATGCATGAGTGTGAGTGTACACACACACACACACACACACACATACACACACACATACACACACACATACACACACACACACACACACACACACACACACACACACACACACACCCTCAGGATCCTCTCCAGGCTGTGGCTATAAGTAAAGAATTGAGATAAGCCCAGGAGACTTTATGAGTGGGCACGAGGGTGGTGGGGACAGGATTGGGAGGGCCGCTAGAGGCGGGATTTGAATAGAGATAGCGCTACCATCCACTCCTTTCATCACTCAGGGCGTGACATTCAGAGTGGAGGGCGGTGAGTTGGTGATTGCTCGCATTCTGCACGGAGGCATGGTGGCTCAGCAAGGCCTGCTGCATGTTGGTGACATCATCAAAGAAGTGAATGGGCAGCCGGTGGGCAGCGATCCCCGGGCATTGCAGGAGCTCCTGCGCAGCGCCAGCGGCAGCGTCATCCTCAAGATCCTGCCCAGCTACCAGGAACCCCACCTGCCCCGACAGGTGGGCCTGTCTCCCTGAGCCCTACCCAGCTCAAGGCCCGAGAGATGGCTGAGCCTCTTAGCTGTAGCTCCCAGGTCTCTTGGAGCTGTTGTCTCTAAGTGTTCATCTAAGGAAAAAGAGACGGCAGGCCCTCCAGGCTGATGGCGTTCGTTACAGCCACACAGCCTCCAGGTGTGGCGTGGCGCCTAAGCACCCATTGACTGGTTTTCCGTGTAGGCATTCACGCACATATGCAAGGGATACATGGGCTTCTATGACTAGAAAGCCCCACCTGAGTGTGCAAGTGATTGTGTCGAGTGTCCTGAGCGTGCAAAGAGATGCAGTGTTCTTTGTGGTCTTTGCACCTATGTGTGAGTGCAAAGACCTCACCCTGCAGGCCTGAGTTAGATGGGATTGTTACCTGCCCTGGGAGCTCCTTCCTTATTGTGAAATTGTTCACCTCAGCCTCCTCTTTGGCTTTTGCACTCTTGGAGCTCTGTCCTCCTGGAGGGTGGAGGGGAGAATACAGGGTTAGGTGTCAGTGACCCCTACCTGGGTATCTGTTTCCTTTTTCCTGGGGCCTGACCCAGCCTTGGGCAGTTTCTCAACTGCTAAATCTAAGTCTCTTCACTCCAGTTTGCCAAGAGAAATACCAGGAGGGCAGGGTAGGCAGGCCTGGAGGCATCTCTCCTCCACAGAGGGAGAGTGGCAGGGAGGGCTGTACTGTCTGCCAAGCAAGAGGGTGGATGCGCTCTCCGTTCATTCCCTTGACTCTTCCCAAATCCCTGGGGCTCAGGTATTTGTTAAATGCCACTTCGATTATGACCCTGCCCGAGACAGCCTCATCCCCTGCAAGGAAGCAGGCCTTCGCTTCAACGCTGGGGACTTGCTCCAGATTGTAAACCAAGATGACGCCAATTGGTGGCAGGTGAGCCCTGGGCACTCCTACAGTGTCTCCAAGTACCGTAGTGCGGCAGAAGAGGCGGGGTGCCGGGAATGGCCCTCTTACCCAGGTAGGTCTTTGGCGTGTGCCGTTTCAGGCATGCCACGTAGAAGGGGGCAGTGCTGGTCTCATACCCAGCCAGTTGCTGGAGGAGAAGCGGAAAGCATTTGTGAAGCGGGACCTGGAGCTGACCCCGACCTCAGGTAGGAGCCCCCTTCCCCACCTCAGGCCCCAATTTAAGACCTGGCATGGCCCAGTTTGCTCACTCGCTTGTTTCCTTGTGGCCAGGGACCCTATGTGGCAGCCTTTCAGGAAAGAAAAAGAAGCGAATGATGTATTTGACTACCAAGAATGCAGGTGGGTATTAATTCCTGTCCAAGTTGTCTAATATGTCGTATCTCTCTCTTCCTCACAAGTGACCTGTGGGTCTACTCTGCCTCAGATACTGCCAGCCTCGTTCCTAGGCTTGCCCAATTCCTCTGTTTCCCAGGCCTCAAGCACACTTACCCTTAATGCATTCTGAGAGCCCCTTTCCTCCCCCACGGGGCAGCCTGGTGAACAGTGCCATCTCTCTGTGCCCAGAGTTTGACCGCCACGAGCTGCTCATTTATGAGGAGGTGGCCCGCATGCCCCCATTCCGCCGGAAAACCCTGGTGCTGATTGGCGCGCAGGGTGTGGGCCGGCGCAGCCTGAAAAACAAGCTCATTCTGTGGGATCCAGACCGCTACGGCACCACAGTGCCCTGTGAGTGGGGGCCAGGGAGCGGGAGGTGCGAGCGTGGATGGGAGAGGAGAACGGAGGGATGGTGGTGGAGGGTTGCTGAGCAGCACTGAGCAGAACTGAGCGAGCTTCTTCAGGGACACCAGGTCAAGGTGGTTCCTTTGGCGGGGAGAGCTGTGTGCGCCCTCTGTGGGTGAATAAGGGGAACTGCAGGCTCATGATTCGGTGAAAGGGGGCTGGCTTTATTTCAGGATTTCTCCTCTCAAGTTTTACTTGCAAAAAAGGGTTAAAAAAAAAAAAAAGTGAGTGTCTACCATGATGTCTGGCGAGACAGGTTTGAGCTGTGTGTGGCCTGTGGCAGACAGGGCTTCTAATCTAAGTGTTGGGACCACAGGAGGTGAAGGTGGTGATGGTTGCTGGAGGCAGGAGCAAGAACGCTAAGCCCAGATTTCTTGACCCTTGCAATGTGGCTTTGGGCTGCTCATCGCCCTCCCTGAGCCTCTGCTAGCATCAGTGTACATGGCATCGGGCAAGCTGTTCCCCGAAGGTCCTCCCAGACAAGTGTGTCGCGTGCATTTTGTGTGTGTGTGTGTGTGTGTGTGTGTGTGTGTGTGTGTGTGTGTGTGTGTGCGCGCGCGCGCGCGCGCGTATGCCCGTGGAGAAGGTGAGAATAGGTGTGTATGAAGACACGAGGTTCTGAGAAGACCGAGAGCAGGCTATGTTGTCTCCAGAGCTGAGTTCTTGCACCCCACACAGAACCCACATACCCATATCTGAGGTGGGGTGGCTGACTCACCGGTTATCCGTGCTTCCCCTCCAGACACATCCCGGAGGCCCAAGGACACAGAGAGGGAAGGGCAGGCGTACAGCTTTGTGTCTCGTGGGGAGATGGAGTCTGACATCCGCGCTGGGCGCTACCTGGAACATGGCGAGTATGAGGGCAACCTGTATGGCACACGTATCGACTCCATCCGGGGCGTGGTTGCCTCCGGCAAGGTGTGCGTGCTGGATGTCAACCCCCAGGTACTGTCTAGCCCTTCCCTTTCATGTTTGTCAGTGTCCTCTACCACACTCTGCTCCCCTCAGCAACCCCTGTATGTCTCCTAGGGTTCATGTACCCCTCGACTACTGCTAAGGACCCAGCCCTTTTACCCCCACCCCTCCACCCCCCGCCCTAGCCTCCTTCAGTTAGTCTCCAGCCGCCTGCCCGCTACTTGTCATTCTCATGACCCAGGTCCCAGAACCCCAAGCACCCCAAGCACCGACTCTCAGGTGCCCACCCTGTCACCCCATATCCTTCCTGTTCCTAGCCCATAAAAAGGTGTTCTCCCAGCCTCCTCTTTCCCTGCAGGCGGTGAAGGTCCTGAGGACAGCCGAGTTTGTCCCTTATGTGGTATTTATTGAGGCCCCTGACTTTGAGACCCTGCGAGCCATGAACCGGGCTGCACTGGAGAGCGGAGTGTCCACTAAACAGCTGACGGTGAGCGGATCTGAGTAGCGGTGGGAGGGCTGGGTGGTTGCCTGGGGTGGTGGAGCCCAGAGAGTCAGTGATTTGTGTATCTGAAGAGAGGAAGGCCTGAGAGAGGAATGCAGTGCCCTGCCTCTCAGACAGAGCCAGGGACACAGAACTTTGACTCTAGGCCTACTACGCATGGCCAGTAGAAGATCTGCAGGACAGGGATGGCCAGCGGAAGCTTCTAGAGGAAACTTGAATGTTGGCACAGCATTCCCCCAGGAGTAGGGTTTGCCCAGCTCTGAGCTCAAGGCTCCCCCTGCCCCACTCTTGTTGCTACAGCTCCTCTGCTCCACAGAGGTGGTCTAGGTTGGGCTTGCATCCTCTGATGTCAACTCTGGGTGCCATGGCCCTGGCAACAGATGCACCCAGAGCCTCTGGGACATGGCTGCCCTCAGCTCCATTATGCCTGATGTCCACTTCCTTCCCAGCAAGCCTCCTTTAGGTCTGGGGTGGGAATTAGTTTGTTCATTTGTGGCATCATCCTGGTACCAGGTAAGTTCTGATGCCACCTCAAAGCTATAGCAAGGGACTTGGTCAGACTAAAGGATGCACTGGCAGGAGTCAGGCAGATCCCCGAGCCATCGGCTCACTGTGACCTCTTTGTATGGGAGCTTTGTGTTATTATTGGAGCTGTAGTGAAGAACCCATGGGTGGCTTAACGGTTAGTGCTCTATGTGTTACAGCATCTTTTCCTCCCTCCTTCCCTCCTTCCCTCCTTCCTTCCTTCTTTCCTTCCTTCCTCCCATCCGTCCATCCATCCATCCATCCTGGCTGGGTGCAGAAGCACAGCCTTGTGAGGCACAAGGGAATCTCTACTCTGTGGCTGGGCTTTGGGGGTGAGGTAGGCAGGTTGTAGATTTCTCTAGTGATGGAATCAAGCTGGAGACACTGACTGAAGCCCCTTGTGCCGAACAGGAGGCAGATCTGAGACGGACAGTGGAAGAGAGCAGCCGAATCCAGAGGGGATATGGCCACTACTTCGACCTCAGCCTGGTCAACAGCAACCTCGAGAGGACCTTCCGTGAGCTCCAGGCTGCCATGGAGAAGCTTCGAACAGAGCCCCAGTGGGTGCCCGTCAGCTGGGTGTACTGAGCCTCGTTCCCTGCCTGGTGGGGAATCCATCCTTCACCCCACCTGTGACACTCCCCTACCCTGATAACGATCTTCACCCCCCATCTCTGGTTTTCCCTGGATCTCAGTTCCCAGCAGGCTTCAGTACAGAGGTGTGCACTGCCAGGGAGGTAGGTGTTCATAGGGTACCTCTGTACCCAGGTGCTGCCCACTCCCGATGTCCACTGGCCACCAGACATCCCTCTGTATGGACCATGCTGTGTCCAGGAACAGCTCAGAATCACTCCTGTAATGCTCAGACCAGGGATGAGCAGAGCTGCTGGGGCCTTGTGGTCAGTAGGTCTAGGACCCTGCCAGCCTTTTCTCCTCTGGGCTGGCCACACCCACCCTGTTCCCTGGCTCCTCTCACTCCTTACTATAGTCCTTGGAACAGCTGTGGGCTGTTCTCATGTGGCCAGGTACTAAGACACTGGTAGCTGGGCAGACCTGGGCAGTAGTGTTAGTCTGGACCATTTTAGATGCTGGGGGAGCCCCGTCGAGAGCCAGTTGTTGTAGCTGGTGACCGGTCTCAGCTCCTCGGAGCAAACATAGCCTGGTCCCTCCCTTATTCCTAGCTTCTCACTGCCAAAGTCTCTCCACAGACTTTCTTAATGTGTCCCTCTTTTATAAGCCCTGCTCCCCAAACAGTGCAACTGGCAGTGGCAGTAGGCTTAGCCCCAGGTTGGGAATAAGGCCCAGGGCGCTGAACCCTTCGTTGCTGGAACCAAAAGTATTCCAGGCTCCACAGCCCACACCAGACTTTGTTCCCTTCAAGCTTTTCTCTAGATAGATCTAGGTGGCCTCCTGGCATTAGGGCTGACCTCATTGGGCCTGAGGAGGGGGTGGGGAGACTGGAAGTCTGGGCTTGGAAACAGACAGATTAGCTTTAGCAGCACTTGCCACACAACTCCAGGGGATACCATTGGCACTCAAGGCTGGACAGTCTGTGGTTCTGCCTGCTGTGGTGCTGGTTGCTGTTTCTGGCCTTGGTGTGTGTGTATGTATGTTGTTTGTGCACATGCATGGATTTGGTTAGTTTGAGGGGAGGCAGAGGATTGCTGTCTCTTTGAGGTCCCTTTATGGGCTCCCCTCAGCCCCTATCCCACATCCCAGAGCCTGGGCCTTCCCCTTCTCTCCCATGGTCCCCTATCCTAAGTACCAGCCTTTAGTCCTTGGGTAGGGTGATTTTGTAAAATAGGATAACCCTTTTAAGAACTCTGTCCTTGACATCTGGAGACATCTCATCCCTCATCCTTCTTGAGGGGGTCCCTGTCCTCCTGGGACCCCCAGCACCCCCACCCTGTGCCTCCCAGCTCTCCTGAGTGTCAGTTTCTGCTGCAGTGTCAGCCCAAGCTGACCCTGAACCACTGTGTGCCCATTTCCTAGGGGAGGGGAGGGAGGGAGAAGAAACAGAATATTTATTATAAATGCTAGAAATATATTTATTATATTAGAAACCTCATTTGCATTGGCACTGTATATGCAAATGGGACTGGAGGTGGGTCAGGCTGCTGCTCATTTGTATAGCTCTGCATCCACCCTGTGCAGCCATCTTCCCACCTTTTGTTTCCCTTTGGTCACTGTCCTTTCCTTCAGTTTGGCTTCTTGCTGTGACCCTGACCCTTACTTAGCCTAAGGGGACTGGTAGTGGGAGAGAAATAGCACATTTCCCGGCTTCCTCTCCTCCTCCCCTGGAGGAAGAGTGTAGGGTCAGAGCTGCCCCCATCCCCCTTGATTAACCCACCAAGCCCTCTGACCAAAAGACCATGGCCTAATAGAGATCTAGTGGGCACCGTGCTGGAGAGTTGGTACCAGTCTTTCCCCCTGGATACCCAGTGGACTAGCAATCCTCACATCTTCCCGAGTAATGTGCAAGGGGCGGGGCAGGGCTGGGCCCCTCTTCTCTGAACAGCCTCCTACCTCTCCCACTGAGCCCAACTCTATACCCCTTCCAAGTGCTGGCCAGGTGGGAATAGAGGCCTTGAGTCTCCTCAGCTCACCTGGCACAGGGCTGAGTTAGAGCGCGGTGGTACCCACCAAGCTGGCTCCGTGACTCTTCCCTCCCTCCCTCCCTCCCTCCCTCCTTCCCTCCCTTCCTCCATTCCTGCCTCCCTCTGTGGACCTCAGGAGAAGGAGGACTCTGCCCCCCAGGGTCCACACTTAGTCCCATTGCCCTTCCTTTGGTTCCCTCTGCCAGTCATCTTAATTCTTAAGTTTTCTTTCTTTTCCTTTGATTAAATGTGAAAGCAAATGTTTCTGGGCTCTGCTGGTCTTTGTTTGGGGGTTTTGACTAGACAGTTTTGGAAGAAGGTGAGGCTTAGGGAATACAGCACAGATGGCTGAATTTAAAAAAAAAGAAATAAAAAGGAAATGAAAATGACTGCTTCTAGGTATAGCAGAGGAGACGGTGATTGCAGACCTGTGGGAGAGCATAGCCAGAGGCGGGACAGGAGACATCAGGGACAGTCCACAGTGGACATGATCAGATTGAGCTGTGCCAAGCGAGGAGAGGAAGGAGGGGAAGGGAGACGGGAGAGAGAATCAGGTGCAGCAGCCAGGAGGCCCAAAATACAAAGAGATCGGGGCAACCAAAATGGCTGGATTATATAGGGAAAAGCAGCTCAGCCTCCTGGGCTGGAGAGTTCAGGGTAGGGGGCCGGGTATGCCAGCCAGAAGGGCCCTGTGACAGCAGGCAGTGACTGAGGGAGAAGGGAGGACCTGGCAGCCAGTGTCTGCTTTGATATGTTAAATAGGCACCAGAGCCATTTGCCATGGGTTTGAAACCTAACAATAATTCTAGAATGGAAGATGGGCCGACTCTGGCGTCTTCCTCCCCTGTCTTGCCCTCTGTACTGTACTGTGTCTGAGTGCTTATGCCTGCGAGCTGGTGGGCATCAGGGGGACGAAGGACTCAGGGTCTCCACGGCCAGTCTGCATGACTGCACATGGAACTTGTGTGGCTTTAGCAGATGCCCCTACCTCCCTAAGCCTTGGCTTCATCCTCTGTAAAAGTGCCACGGTCTCTCAGAGTTCTAGGTGCTGTCTTACCCGAGAGGAGATGACATGGAAGTGTTACTCTTTAGATTCCTACGACCACAAGAGCAGATGTCCCAGGTGATGCCACACAGGTATATATGGTTCAGGGGATCAACACCCTTTCCACCTGCAGTCCTTCAGGGGGGGATGGTGGTACACCACCCTGCCATTATCACCGCAGATTCTCTGAGGCTGTGTGCAATGGTTCCGACATGCTCTTTCACTGAATCTAGAGGTTGATGTTTTGGCTAGCATGTTCCTGGGCTTCAGCATCTTCCCTTCTCTCCAGCACTGGGGTGCAGACTCACAGTGATCCTTTCACAAGGGACCTGAACTCGGGTCCTCTTGCTTGCGCAGAAAATGCTTTACCTACTCTCCAGGAGAGGTTAGGAGAGGAGGGAGGGAAAGCGAGAGGAGAAATAAAGGGCCTGGGGAACAGGGACGATTAGGAAAAGAAAGGATAGAAAAAAAGCATTCTCTTCCTCAGGACCACATGTTCCCACACATGCAAATCCTTCTAGAGCTTTCCAATAGCAGTTAAAGCCCCCTGCACAAAGGTTCACCCTGCAAATCAAACAGCTAGTGACAGAGAACCAGTTGGGTAAGCTGAAGCACACCCATATGCTGGAACAGTATACAGCTGAGAAACAGTTTATTGTACACGGTTTGTAGGACACGGAGGAATGCTTATATTGGGGTAATGAGGGAAGGGCAGGGTGCGGTGCACAGTGGGGTGACCTCTCTGTGAAATGAGCAACCAAAAAAATACCTGAAGGAGAAAGGAGGGGGATCCAGCCAAGTGTGGTCAGGGTGTCAGCAGGGCTCCGTGAGATTATAGATGACCTTAAAAACATTGTTCCCTTTTTTGTCTTTTTCCCTGTATTTCTATCTTTTACATGCTGAGCCATTTTTCAAAACAAAATAGAAAAATGGAAAAGAATGGTTGAGCCAGTCCATCTTTCCCTCATCCAGCTGGCCTGGATTTATCCTTAGTACTGGAGTCCAGTTTCTTCCTGTTGCCTCCCCCCTCCGCACACCTCTCCCCACGCTGGTTTCCTCCTCCTTCCCTAGCTTCCCTCCAGAGCACATAGAGTAGTAAGCCTTCCTCCAATGTCCTTCCAAAGCTGGGCTACAGGGCCGTGGGGAAGGAGAATGGAAAGACAGCCAATCCCTGGGCTGGCCGCCTCCATCACCTCCATCGGGTACCTGATGATTGGGAGGTATCAGGAAGCTCCAGCTGGGGCCACGGTGTCATGGTCAGAGCTCTAGAGAGCATGTAGGGGACCCCACAGTGAAAGAGAGAAGGAAGGAAGACTCTCCAGGCGACAGGGAGCTGAGGATCCATCAGACCCAAGTGTAGGAATCCTGGGTCACTTGCCAGAGCCATGCCCTAGAGATGGTTTGGGATGGGGCTCTGGAATTCTGTTTTAATTATTTTCTGAAGGGTCCGGATGCAGGTGTTTTATAGACATACACATACGTCTCCTCCAGAGCACCGGATGCAGGAGAATTGGAGGGAGGACAAGGTGGGAAAGGTATTCAGGGGATGGGAGGTGGGATGAGAAGCAGGATGGTTGCTGGGCACCCATGCCTAGGGAATTTCCTGGAGCCCATACAAACTCAGCCCTCATCTACTGAGTCTTGCCAGACCTTGGTGAAGGTCCGAAGCTGTGCACTCTTCCTAGGGATTAGAGAATGCTGGGGAAAGTCCTGGCCTCTGGCTGGAATTGTTAAGTTCCACCCTGGACTCCAGGGCTCACAGACACTTCTTTGCCATTCTGGGACACACAAGAAGGGAGCCCTGGAGTATGAGGAAAGCCTGGGAATTCATACAAACTCAGCCATTCAGCTTTACAATGCCTGACCACAGGACATTCTGCAGTCACACAGAGATGAACTCGGAGAAGGCCAGTTCCTCTGCAGACATCTGCAGGGGAGGGGCTGCCATCTTGTCCTCCTCGGAGTCCAGGGGAGGGGCTGCCTCTTCCTCTGTAGTCTGGAGAGAGGATGGTGAGGTTGAAAAGCAGAGCCTGGTGCTGGTGAGGTCTCTACCCTAGCAGAGCCCCCCCCACCCCGCCCCCAACCCATCTCATCTCCTGTCTGTGGTCTACGCTTTTGTGAGACAGGGTCTCACCATATAGGCTGTGTTATGATAAAGCCTGAGGGGAACCTTGGTGGATTACATGGCAGGCGAGGGCAGACGGAGGGACAAACATGCCAGGCAGACAGGGCTTAAGTGAGAAGTTTTATTAGAAAGGGAAGGGGGGAGGAAAAAAGAGGTAAAGAGACACAGAGACAGAGAGAGGACAGAAGAGAAGAGGGAGACAGGAAAAGTCCTGTCTGCTCCTGGGAAACAGCAGGAAAGAGAGAGGGAAAAGAGAGCGGGAAAGAGAGTGGAATTGGGCGGGGGTCTTACTTTTTTGGTTTTTTCGAGACAGGGTTTCTCTGTATTGCTTTGGAGCCTGTCCTGGAACTTGCTCTGTATAACAGGCTGGTCTTGAACTCACAGAGATCCACCTGTCTCTACCTCCCGAGTGCTGGGATTAAAGGTGTGTACCACCAACGCCCAGGGGGGTTCTTACTTTTAAAGGGTCCTTTGCACCTGCATGCAGACTAGTAGTCATGGGACCCTGGGTTGACCAGGGTTCTGCCTGAGTGCATCCTGCCAGGTGACAGGGGCAGGCCAGCATAATGCCTGAATCCTTACAGGCTGACTTCTAATCCCCCAGCTCCTCCTTCTGACCACAGACTCCCAAATGTTAGGATTACAAGCAGGCACCACAATGCCCAGCTCAGCTGAGAGCTCTTTAAACCGACACCCAATATGCTATTAAAGAATTTTCTGAGCCAGGCAGTGGCGGTACACGCCTTTAATCCCAGCACTCAGGAGGCAGAGGCAGGCAGATCTCAGTGAGTTTGAGGTCAGTCTGGTCTACAAGCAAGTTCCAGTACAGCCAGGAGTGTTTCACAGAGAATCCCCTGTCTTGAAAAACAAACATCAAACAAACAAAAAAAGCCCCCTCCCCCCCCCAAAGAATTTTCTGAACAGGGAAGAGGAGAATGTGAAGTTTGGAGCCTGGGTGAAATGACCAGCTACATGGACAGATATGGTGGGTATCTTCTGGGAAGAGGATGCTGGG